AGACAGGGTTTCTCTGTGTAGCTTTGCGCCTTTCCTGGAACTCACTTGGTAGCCCAGGCTGGCCTCGAACTCACAAAGATCCGCCTGGCTCTGCCTCCCGAGTGCTGGGATTAAAGGCGTGCGCCACCACCGCCCGGCAGAAATGAATGTTTTTAACAAACATAAAAGTGATCAGTGAAATGCTGGATATGCCAACTGTGCATATCTGACACACATGATAATATATATGCAAAACTGTGCCCTATAAACACACATATTTATCATATTAACTAATCTTTAATTTAATCATGGCCAGGGTCCATGAGCAGGTCTGGGCTTTCCAATTCCGTTTCACTGATGTGTATGTCTGCATTTATATCAGTAGTAGACTATTTTGATGGTTGCAGCTTTGTACTAAAAAAGGAAATCATGTAGGATGTCCTGCAACTTTATTCTTGCTTTTTTCAAGATACTTTTAAGGCCGGGTATGGTGGAGCTTGCCTCTAACTCCAGCTCTTGGGAGCAGAGACAGGTGGATCTCTAGGAGTTTGAGGCCATCTTGATCTATATAGTGAGTTTCAGGACAGCTAGAATGGACTTTGCTATTTCTGTGCAAAATGCCACTGTGGTTTTGATCTGATGTGCATAGAACTGATAGACTACACTCAGGGATATTTTCATCTATTAAAAAAAATCTTTCAGGCAAGCTGGCTCATGCCTGTAATTCCAGCCACTCAAGAAGTTGAGGCAGGAGTACCAAGTTCTAAAACTGCCTCCCGCAACCAATTCAAGGCCAGCCTGACTGATTTATTGACATCCTGTTTCTAAATAAAAATTAGAAAGATGAGCTTAGAGTATAGCTCAGTGGTAGTGCATTGCTTCTCATGCACAAAGCCCTGGGTTCAATCCCAGTACTGCAGAACAACATTAATAATGAGATTAAGTCTTCCAACCCATCAACCCCAATGGCTGTCATTTCTTGTATTCTTTCATCATCTCTTATTTGGTAGTTTTCTGAGTGCAAGTCTTTTATCTCCTTGGTGGAGTTAATTCTAAGTATTTTATTCTTTTTGATGCTTTCATAAATAAATACTTTCTTCATTTCCTTTCCAATTGTTCACTGTTAAGGCTGGGACTATTGCTCAAGGGCTGAACACTTGTTGGGCATGAAATAGGAACTAGGTTCAAGTTCCACTACTGTCAGAAAAAACGAAAATCCAATTGTTCATGGTCAATATTAGTATACAGTAATACATCTCACTTGGGCATATTCATTTCATTAGCCAACAAATTTACTAGTTTTGCTCATTTAGTTCTGAGAACTTTCTGTAGAATGTTAAGGATTTTCTGTGAACAAGTTCCTGTCATCTACAGATATCTTTAGCACCTCATAATTGGGCACCTTCATTTCATTGTCTAGCCTAATGACTATGTGTAGCACTCCTAAGAGTCTCTTGAACAGATGTGGTCACAGAAGCATCCTGTGTTCTTCCTGATCTTAGAGAAAAAGCTGTCAGTCTCCCCACTGAATATGATGTTGGCTGTGGGTTTCCATGTGTGGTCTTTGTTACACGGAACTGGACTTCCATCATGTTTCAGTGTTTTTGTTATTAAAGTCTGTGAAATTTTATCAATTTTTTGTTGATCCAATCTTATTGGTTATACAGCTATTCAATTTTTTTTTCTTTCACAATTTCACCTCTAAAGAATCCAGGTTTGTAGGAATTTGTCCATTGCATCTAGGCCACACAACAGTTAGCATATAAGTACTGAGTGCTCTTGAAATTCTTCATATTCTTGAGAATGGATGGTGAGGTCTCAAATTGTATTAATATCCATCCTCTTTTTTCAAAGTTTATCTGAGAAAAGGTTGCTAATGTTGTTAACCATTTTTGAAGAACCAACATTTGGTGCAGTTACTCTAGTCTCTGTTTTGTTTAATCTTCATTCTTATCTTTAGTTTTCTCCTTCTACTAGCTTGGGGGAACTTTTAGGGGACAGGAGTCTCATTATATAACCCAGATTTGCCTCAAATTCACAATCCTCCTGCCTTAGCCTCTGATGCTAGGACGCTAGGTTATATCACATCCTTCACCTGCCTCATAGTAGGTTTTAAAGACTTAATATAATAATCAAGTAGCCTTTCATTATTATATTACACACACATACACACATAGAGGAAGAAAAAATGTTGCTGCAATTATTTCTACAGCTAGTACTAGCCTTGAAGCCAGGTAGCCAGGTCTATCTCTGATTAACCATACAGATTTAAGTAATTTTTGAAAACCACTTTAAGCTCCAGTTTTTCATCATCTGAATGGAAATAATTTCTATGTGACAGACTCATCATATAGATGAAACCAAATACTAATACTGGGCTAGCCACATCACAAATACCATGCCACCTTGGTCAACATTAGCATTAATAATCACTCTTGAGCAGACTGGTGAGGTTTGAGTCCCAAATAGTCACAGCAAGGAGTAAAGAATTGAGGACAGCATTGATACATAAGGGATGTGGGGAGACACATGTTATCCAAAAGGTAAAACTTTCACATAGCTACTAAATAAAAATGGGAGAGAAAAAAATGAGGGGGGGGGTCTGATGAAAAATTTCTAAGCCATGGTTATTTACTAGATTTCATCCACCAGGATGTGTCCATGAAGGGCTGAGACAAGTAAGTTATTAGTGGAGGAATATACTTGTGAAGGTGAGCCTGAGATATCCCTCAGGACACATGAAGATATGATCTCTGTGTAGGCAGAGAAGCAGGCATATCTTAGATTGCAGTGCAGTTCCAACAGAGTTTCTACAAGTTTGAGGCTGAGTTCCCTACAGTAACCAAGCAGAGGGATTTGGGGTCTTACAGAGTCTGCCTTGCTGTCCTACCCCACTGCAGAAACCATGGTCTCTGCAGAGGAGCTGGTACATTGAGAGTCAATAGCCTGGGCCTTCTGTCACTTAGGTCCCAGCCACAAGAGACCACTTATTCATGGCTGCCACAACTGAGACCCTGAGAATAAGATAGAAACACTGGATAT